AGTACTCGAGATTGCAAATTCACAGTATTTCCTCCATATTCTCTTATTCTTAAGGTACATAGAAAAATGTTTAGTATGTTTTTGTAGAGGATTAAATGGTGCATCTTTAAAAGAAAATTAAAATTTTATTATTTTTTTGGACTGATATATATTCAGACAAACAAAAAACGAGCAATCATTTTGGGACACCCGGAAACCATGACTTACGTCTTACGCTGCCAAAATATGGAATGAATGGAATAATCTTAATGTTCTTGGCATAAATGAATAGACGTCTAAACGTTAGTTTGAAAAAATCAGCACAAAATGGCTTTTAATCAAACGACGCTAGGACGAAAAAGAATGGAAATGATAAGTGTGCATCACAGACCACAGACGGAAGTGTTTTCCATGATATAAGCACAAAGATTGCATTGGAGGAGGATTTTCACGTTTGCTGCTCTAAACTATCCAGCTTTTTTTCTGCGGATTTGGTAGTTCATAGTTTGAACTTGCCATCCCATGATGGAAAACATTATCGCTGATACTATCGCCAACGCTTGGCTATGGAATTGTTCTTCAATAACGTGTGCTGTGATACGACCTCAACATCATCGTTTTTCTCCAGTTCAAAAAAGGGTATTTATGCTTGTTTCAGGAAAATACAGTGACAGAAGCCTTAAATAAATGACTATAAGTGTGATTATTCTATAAGAAAGGCACATATTATTTGATATGAGCAACTGTCATCTTTAGCCTAACATGTCTCTAACTACAGAAATTCTATCCTCTCTATGCTAAAAGTTTAGTTTTTCACGTTTTTTCTCTTCAAGGTGCTTTAATAGCTAAGAAACAGATATCCTAAACAGAAAGTCACTTCTTAACAAGAAAGAAGAAAAACAGTGGGTAACTGTTAGTACGTTTTTTGTTTATTTATTCTTCTATCATATACGAAATCATTTCAATAGAATTTGAACGATAAAATGGGAATTTATACATATTAAATTAATGTCTCAGTCTGAGCAGACAACAATTGGCATAAAAGTCAATTCAGTTATCATTAAAAGAATACAGATAACATTCATAAACCTATTAATAGAATCTGTGGCTTTTCTACTTTGTGAACAAGATTATGGTGGAAATACGAATGAGTGGCATCGTTCATTAAAAATATTTTTCGAAAAATTCGTACATTGTAGTACTAGGCATGCACCAGTTATTTTTACGTATTTTTCGAAAAATGGTTTGTATTTTTGCAACAACGAACTGTAAAATTTTCTGGAATCAGCAGTTTTGTAGAGCAAACATTTCTCTACAAGATGACATATAGTAGACATTTTTAAAGTTGCTTGGTTTCCTTAGAAGATGTTTTTGATAGAATGACCCAGCAGTTAAAAACTGCAGGGGTCATCCTATCAAAAAGTATATATTTTCTAAATGTTAGAAAACATGCATGTGCATAATTTGTTGTCCTATATAATCAACAATGTTGTTTTGTATACTCTCAAAGTGTGCGCGAAAGTAATTGTACTAGTATCCATTCCAAATATCAGGCAGGCGGTTACTTTTCAAATAAGTTCAAAGTGTCCTCTACAAAACTGATTAAAAGCAACATCTTCAAAATCCATGGTTCGGGCCCGATAAGGCTTTCCTTCGAAGCACCAGGACTGCTCTTCTGTTAGGACTGGGACCAGTAGAAATGATTGCAAGCATAGGTTTTCGACTATGGTGAATCTCATGGCAAGGTTCATTTTCTTCTCCGAATTAAAAAAGCTTTCGATTTTTCCGCTGCGGCCATAGTAAAACAGAAACCTTCTGGCACCTTCATTTCTCAACCAAAGTGCATGGAATTTAAAAAGTGAGCATAAGACAAGGTGTTCTCTCCACTATCACGATCAGAACTACAAAAAACAAAGCAGATCTTTACAGGTTTTTCAGAAAACCTTTAACGACCTTTAGATAAAATCTTCATATGAGAAATCATACCAATGTTCCTGCACTATACAGCAGGAGAAACTGAGTGAATTTTGAAAATTTGAAGCACTTTGGTTAAGAAATGAAGGTGCTAGCAGGTTTTACTATGACCGCAGTGGAAAAATCGCACTTTCCGAAAGATTCGTCTTTTGAATTCGATATTCCGATTGGGATATCAAGAAAATCTATATCCCAATCAGGATATCAAGATTTTAATTTTTAATTTGTAAGAAAATGATAAATTTTAATTATATGAGAGCTGAATATTCTTCTCCTTCTTCTGTATTTATTTTAAAAATTTTTTCTTGGTTAATGCAATTTCTTACTTCCACATTAACATGTTTCTCATCAAATCTAATTAGTTTAAAAGGAGTGTTGCCGTGCCAGGCAATATGAGTATAAATGCCGCAACGCCTGGAATGATGATGTTCTCTTGGCATCTCAGAAATGCTGGCTTCACGACTGATATACGTTTTAAAAGATACAGCAAGTTGTGATTCACTTATAAAGAACATAAGGCAGTTTATCTGCAAGAACGGATAGTTAGAAAATTCCCCGTTAAACACAAAGCACATATATTTATATATTGTCGACGTATGAGAAAAGAATTGTGTTTCAGTATATGTGGGCATCGAAAAGAAAGAAATAAAAAAACACGGTCGACGTGGAAAGCGATTAGATCAAGAGTATATCCCATTATGAGCAATAAAAGTTAACAGCCTATTTCCCGATCGGGATATAAATTCGACTAAAAGGACGGGGGTCGATAAGAGGCAAAATCGGCCCCCTCTCAGATCAGGTTCATATTCACAGGTCTGATGTAATTTTTCTCTGTGATTAAAACTAGCACCTCAAAAAAACCATTTTCGCCCCCCCTGGAAAAAATGCCGCATCCAAACTTTTCTCCCCTTAAATGAACTTTCTTTGAGTATTTTCCCTCTTTCTTCTCTTTGCCCACAGTAAACCTCAACTACTGTATATCATTCGATAGAGAATTTCGTGGGCTACAAAATGATATATATGATATTAAGAACAAATAAGGCCTGGGCGTCGTAACACTAGAAATACCAGCCCCGACCTCCACAAATCCATAGTTCAACAGCGTTCATCGCTTATATTGTCCAGCCAATTTATCATTAACCACGCCGCTTTATATATCATTCGATAGAGAATTTCGCGAACTACAAAATGATATATGTAATATTGAGAACAAATGGGGCCTGGGCGTCCTAACACTAGAAATACTACTGGAGAGTGATGTTTTCGGCATGGACGGATATGGTAAATCCATATAAAACCGACCACCATTTCCATCGACCTTTGACGTCAGTGACGAGACCTACCTCATATTATAGAACTCAGCAAGCTGAACCGAATGGTGAAGACTGCAAGTCTCTAGCCTTGTTAGAAACAGAGCTATAGCCATTTTACCCTCGCAGCAGAAAAATGCATTTTCGTCATTTTCCGGCGAATTTGGTCTAACTTGTAGACCGTCTGCTGACCACATTCCGTAACGTAGAACTTCGAACTTGGTATCAAATGGAAGAGCGCGTCGAGTTCTATATATTTCGATGGAACTGACATTGCCTGAAACGCATCTCGATTCTCAACTCGAAGTGCTTCATTGAGACGGGGATAGAAGGGTGTTGACATTGTGTAAAGATAGATTGCTGCCGATTCGTCCCATGACAGTAAAGTCGTATTTTGAATACAGTTGCTTTTAGCTAGAGCAACATCATCCTTGAGACCAGGGACAAATGGAACGATTCTCTCAACAGCATTTTCTAATGGCATGACGTCTACATGTTGGTAACCGTATATCGGATTGGGGTTCACGCCTTGGAGCTCACTGTCAACAAAGCGATTGCTCCTTGTGGGCGTTTTCTCTGGTTGTACCATTTGATTACCGATTTCCTATTATAAGCAGAGCCAGACAAGCATGGTATAAGCCATAGTTCTGCTGCTGCAGCCTCATTCTATTCTGTATATTCCATCAAATAGCACAGTTCTTATTTTTCGTTAGCTTCTATTTCGCATTTCTCCAGAAGGAAAAATCGTAGAATAAATTTTTTTACACCATTCAATAGTGCATTCAACGAAGTACATTTGACACTTCTGAAATCTTGTAAAATCTCGACAGCATGGTGAATTTGATTTAAAGAACGTGGACGCATAAGGCTATTTTTCGTTAGCCTGTTTTTCTCAAACTTGAATAGCTAGAAAGAATCAGCACTATTTTTTAGGTAGATTTGTCTCATTTAGACACCTTCCTGAGAATTTCAAAAAACCGCCCTAGGGATACGGGCATATAGGATCAACATTTTTTTTTCGAATTCATCCAAGATTTATATCTAGTTTGGTAGAGCTTTTTACGCTGATTACGAATATGACCTTAGAATTGGGAATAGACTTAAAATATAAGAAATGCAAGACACTTTTGGATAGTTATTTCACTGGTTTTGGGGCCAAAAAAGAATTTTTCGGTTTATCGTCCGATATGAGACCTTAGCGCATCGATTATGCCTATAACAGTTACAGTTATAACAGTTATACAGTTATGACAGTTACAGTTTTACAGTTTTACAGTTAACTGTAACTGGTGCATCGGTAGTTGTGCTCGGTAGATAATTTCACTGATTATAATCTACGAGATCATTTAAGTTTTTCAATCAGTTCCTAACATTTCAGTGATAATGATGAAACTAACATACACATGAAAATGTATTTATATTATAAAGTCATCCACCGCAAATGAATTCGTACTTATTTGAAGTAAGTTAATCAATAAAAATTTTAGTATAGGTTTTACAAGTAGATGAAAATTGTTGTGCAATAATTTTAGTCGATATTCACTTAGAGTGTGAGTATGAGTTTGGGTGTGGCTGTCAGTGTGGGTTGTTTTAGGTGTGAGTGTCGTTCTTTGCTTCTCCCAGACCCACACGCACCCACATCCGCACCCACACGCCGGGCTTTCGTTTCCGAGAATAAAAAGGGGATTCTATTTTTTGCAAAGTATCATAACGCTCGTGGATGCTCGTACATAATATTTAGTTCAATTGTAAATTGGCAAGATTTCGCTCAATGGAACTTCGTATATGCGTCAGTGCTTCCTGTTCTCTCGGCGTTGCAAGCTCTAGTATGTCCAAGGCTTGTCGTTCGTGTTGAAGCGCTATTTCGTGCTGACCGAATGTTTCGTAGGCTATACCAGCTAGATGATGGTTGACAGCTGTAGCAGGATCGTTTGCAGGCATGCACAAGTGGCGAGCATGCAGGGCTTGTTCGTAGAAGTTGCAAGCTTGTTCTGGATCACCTATTCCATACTGGGCATCGGCCATCAGTTGGAGCGCTTGTGCCTTATAGAGATGCGCTTCAGGCAAGGTTGCTTTATAAATAGACAATGTCATTTCTAGAAGGGGAAGTGCATGAGTGTACTGTCCATGATGTATATAAGCTAGAGCTAGACGAGCGTTGCTTCGGGCAAAATGCACGTCTTCTTGCATAGGCGAAATATGCCGATACATAATGAGGGCCTTCTTGTAGTACGTCAGTTCGCGTCGATAATCGCCTTGCAACGCATAAATTGTTCCTACACCAGAGATAGTTCGAGCATAATCATAATTGCTCTCTGGTAATCGCTGGCGTTGCAGTCGTTCAGCGTGCCGCGCTAATGCTAAAGCTAGTTTGTAACGGCTGATGAAACGATAAGCTCTGGCAAGAAAATAGTAAACATTTGGGAGATCCTTGTGTTCCGCGGATAAAATGCGAAGAAGTTTCCGAAAATAGTCTATACCCTTCTCGTGTTCACCCATATCAATGAAGAGATTACCGAAAAGATAAGCTGGTCGAGTATGTTTCATTTGTGCGAGAATGTATGATTGGTGCTCCTACTGTTGCAATGGTATCTCGGCTGATAAACGTAAGTGGATGTGCCAAACTTCGTGAATGGTGTCAAGATGGAGGTCAGTTATTTCAAACAGAGTGCCAAGATCGAAGAGCACTTCACTCTCATCGGGTATCTCACTTAATGCACTGATGTCCGCGAACACAGCTTCTGCAGAAACATTCGGTTGAATTTCAACTTCGAACATGACACATTGGTATGGATCCTCGCGGTGTACATTCGAACCAGCAAATAGTGCAGCGACATCGCACCGACGCGATGTTGACAAGAATCCATTGGTAGAAACTAAACTGCCTATGCGCAACTGCTCTAATTCTGACCGAGCCAACTTCGCGCCACGATATAGACTCAGTGGAGCTTCCACTACAAGCTTTCGATTGGCCAAACTTGAGCAGAGGTCACGAATGAAATAGCGGAACGTCCACAGAGCTGTTATGTCGTCGGAACGAAGAGCTTTGTTCAGAAGACGATGCAGAAAGCAAGCTTTTGTATACCAAGTGATAGCGGCATCTGACGTGTATCTGCGCACGAAATCGGCAACCTCTGCTAGTTGTCTAGGCTGCTGACGAGTGCGGTAGTATGAGCTGCATTCTGTGACCATTTCTCGATAGGCTTCACGTGTTGGTGCCATAGCCAGTACCAAAGCTGGAATGCAGCAATTTTGAACAGTGTATCACACATAAGTGATACACTGGTAACACTTGGTACAAAACAGAAACTCATCGAATACTAGAGATCAGTACATGTACTGGACCACCTATTCATCTTGAAGGTGGATGTGAATGAATGCGTATGGCTATGACGGTGAGAGAAACGGTTCGTGAAAGTGAACGTGTGGATTGTGGAAGTTGTGACCTACACTCTCGTCCTCATGCATCTTCTCTTATCCACACCCTTATCCTCATCTGTTACTTCACTCAAGCATCCCGGGTTTCAGTCCTATTTGACTTCACATCTTGTTATAATAAAGAGTTGCAAGGCGAACATGTTTACAGGATTAGACCATCAAAGTTTCTTAGACGTACCTTTAACGATGAACACCATAGAAATCGGGCAAGCTCATCTTTGAGGTTGCGCCATGTCTTTTCACCGCGATTGAATGTTAGGAATGTGCTGGTCAGGTCTTCATCGTGTTCGATGTTGTCGAAAATATTGCGTAGCGCAGTCATGAGTCGCTTCAGAGTTTTGAAGGTGCCACCTACTCGATTATAATGTTGATCGATTAATGGGGGGCTCTCCCACTTGTTTAATATGAAGAGGAATATGGATCATGGATCGAACACGTTCACAAGCGTGGGCATGTTTGATGATCGACATAGCACCTTCGTGATGATCTTTGGTATAGACGACGACGAGAACGACGTCTTGAATACTTTGGCGTCCGTCTATTCGCTCGAAATATGCGACGCATGGCGCTTCTGCTGAGTGAACTACAAGATGGCTAGTGACGCAACGTAGCTTGGTCAGTGGGAAGTTAAGACTAAGAGTGGCCTTTGATTCATCGAACCACACGACACTAATATTTTCGCAACTCAAAGGAGCACGGCGAACCGTTGCATGATGAAAACAATGTATTTGTTGATTGCCTGAGATTCTGCAAGCCTAAATATAAAACAGAGTCACGTATCGTTCTGTCTTTTTTCTGTCCCATTTTTCATTTATTTGAACTGTTTTTCCTGAACAGTTAGATAAATAGTTAAAGCGGAAAGATATTTGCTTTCAAATAAAGAGTGTCAGTATTCAAGTAAAAGTTCATTCATCAGAGATGCCTTTATATAAATGCTTTATATACTACGAAATAACCACGCAAATATCAGCCTAACCCTATTTAGCAGTCGTGATCATTTACACCATGAGACGGAAAAAGTCAATTTCAGACAAATTGGTAAAAGCGTTCAAATTTGCACAATTCAAGCGATCTAGCTACATACCTTGTTACGGCGCAATTTTTCGTATTTGAGCACAATCTGTTTGGCACATTTTTGCTTAACTTTTTTGTTGTCCATCTCGTCTAATAGAAAAACAAGCAATTTCGGAGTACTAATCAACGTCTTTCAAGAAGTCATGAAAAGAGAACATCGAACCATTTTATTCTGTTGAAATGAAATACATACCGCACCCGAGAAATTCGCTCCGTATAGTTACTATTTATGCATTCACTTCATTTATTTTTTCTTCTTTCATAAAACATACTATTCATGTGCCTATATACCCATACACCTGGAACCTATAGAAAATTGTCCTTGCGAATAAAACTATAATTCAGTCCACTCTTGAACAGTTTCTCCCTATTTATTCAATGGAGAACGAACATATATGCATACCTCAAGTATAGACAGAGAAAGAGAGCGAATAACAAATACGTAAAACAGCCTAGAGTATCAACATACAAAGAGAACGACTGAGCGCATTCATCGAAAAGCGCTTGGAGTGGCGTGGCCAGAAATTTTTTACAGAGGGGAGAGGCATTGCCCCCAGAGGTGTCGATGTTTAGTTTCTAAACCTTGGTAGAAACTAAGATGAGAAAGAGATACAATATATCAAAATTTAGTTCTATGTTAGAATGCAAATAAAACAAAGAATAGCTTGTGTTTGAAATAAAATTAGAACAGAATGATTGTGGTCTATATATGAATTATTCAGTTTCTAGTCAATTATATTACAACGAAATATATTGCATGATGAAAAATGATTTAATTCTGTTGTCATTCACGTTTCGTCGGGTACAGTTGTGGGTAATCTGATGTTGTTTAATGTACGATATAAACCAAGGATGAGGACGACGACGTTGCATAATTACTAAATGTATAGTTAAAAAGAAGAGCAGTATCATAAGCTTAATAAAAGAAGTGTAAGGCTGAACATTAGAGAACTGAATTATCTAGCATGGAAGAAGAAACGCTTTGTAAAGACAAAACAAACAACATACCAGTGATGGATCGACCACACAGGCGGATCCATCTCCGAGTCGCTGATATGTTGTCTAAACTCAATTTAACAAAGTCTCGTCTCTACCTTAGATTTTTTAGAGTCACTCTGAACTTTATAATCTTTTGCTCCTTCTAAAGGAAGAGAAACGACTAGCGGTCAAAATCTTATTATTGCTTAAATTAAACCATAAATCTTGATCACTTTGAGTTTCGTCTTCTTCTTGGTCGTCCGAGCTTGAATCGTTACTTCCAGAAGTAATAATTTCGTAATCTGTTTCCTGCTCGTCGTTCTGTCTATTGATATCTGGAAGTATTACAAAGTTGTCATCTTCTATCATAATCATGTGTGTTCATAAAAATCTGCATTTCACTGCGCTCATCAGGACTGAACTGCATTTCTAGAATGCGATATAATTTTTGCGTCATGGTATACAAGGGTTTTTTTGCTACGTTTGTTGATGAAAAATATAGACGGGATAAAAGATCACTCCCTTTCTCAACCCTTTGCATATTAAAAGCTCCTAAATTCTCTCCCTCATCAAATTCAAACAAATGATTTCCTACTATATGAGGGTACGAGGTTACGTTACTTCTCAAACAAGCAGCATTGAACGTTTGAAGAAACTCAATCCAAACTGTTTTTAGATCTTTCTTGCGTTTTAATGGATCCAGTTTTAGAAGATCAAGTATTTCGCGAAAATCCTCCATTAACTTTTTAGCATCAACTACAGCTTTTCCGTCTAACAGTTTCTCATAGGAAAATTTTTGAAAAAACAACTCCTGTAAGTGTCCGGAAAATCTTCCATGAAGCTTTATTAATTGTTCTTTTGCGTCATATGCAAAAAAAAACTCTTTTTCCAATGAGTATCTGTGCATGTTCGTTTAAGATCTCTACTTTTTCCTCCATCTGTAGATCATGTTCTTTTCCATATTTTTCACGTTTAGATGCATAATGCAGTATATCAGTCATAAAAACATCATACACTCTCAACTTCATATGCAAGGT